CTCTCATTGAAGGTACTCTTCATGTGAGCAGTGGCACAAACTCTAGTTGGGCTTTCTGACTGGGTTGATTTGGTTCATCAAGCTAAAATGCAAGAGTGTTTATTATAGGAAACTATTGGGTTTTCCAACAAAGAAATTATGATAACTTTGAACAAGCATAAAAATCTAAAATTTCCAAATCTACCCTAAACTAAATTTCCAGTCAGAATGCAAGGCTAATTTATATGGCTTTATCATGGAGCTTCCGTTCTGGTTCAACTACGCTATGGTTTCTCAACCCATTGTTGCTGTGATCCAGATCCTGGTACTTGCAGGGTCTTTAGCAGTAGCTGTGGCTCCTCCCACCAAGCGCCAGCAGCTTTACCTCTCAAATGTGACAGGGAAGGTGTCTGTGCACATTGTCAGATGTGCCCTTGGAGCAAGTGCTTCTCTTTGACTGAGAAGCACTGATTTAGAAAATAGCATTTTATTTTGGGATGATTTTAGATTTCAGAAAAGTCACAGGTTTAGTTTCCATGTGTTCTTTACCCACTTCACTTCTTTCATAACATGACTAGTTAGTTGATATGGACTAAATCACAAATCATACTTTATTCAGGTATTACCTGACTTTGTAGGTTCTAGGATTCAATTCAGGATCCCCCATTGCACTTAGGGCAATGGAAGTGTTTGCAGAATGAGTACTTATTTTTTGAGATTGCTGATCATGGCAGACATGCTTCATATCGCTTTCCTCTTTCCAACCTTCTGAATTGTTCAAGACATTGTACGCTTGTGTCTAAATCTCTTACATTTTACAAAGTAAGGAAGTATCGAATAGATTGTGTTTTGGTGTTGATGGTACTGTTGTTTGGGCTCTGGACCTCCATCTCCAGGTAGGTACTGTACCACTTGATCCCAGTCCTTCTGCTTTAGTTATTTTTCGTAAAAGCCACCTTGACCTGCTTTTTTATTCAGATAGGGCCTTGCTAACTTTTTGCCCATACTAGCTTTGAACTGTGATCCTTCCATTCTCCACCTCCTGAATAGTCAACAATGACCAGTGCAAGCCATCAAACATTGCTGTTCCATAGCCTTTGTATTCTTCTGATAAATTACTTTTGTAATATGCTAAATACGCAGCTAGATTTTTTTTGGGGGGGGGTCCAGTCCTGGGGCCTGAACTCTGGGCCTGGGCGCTGTCCCTCAGCTCTTCAGCCCAAGGCTAGTGCTCTACCACTTGAGCCACAGCGCCACTTCTGGCTTTTTTTCCCCTGCTTATGTGGTGCTGAGGAATCAAACCCAGGGCCTCATGCATGCAAGGCAAGCACTCTACCACTGAGCCACCTTCCCAGCCCCGTAGCTAGATTTATGATCAAAAGTGAATGTTAACAGCTTCCTTGGCAATGGAATGAGCAGGAGGTAAAATAATCAGAGCATGTTAGAGTGCTCACAGGTACTCAGACATAGCCAGGGTAATGCCAGTCAATTTAAGCTTCTTATGAGCTGGACTGAGATGCTTCCCTGTCAAAACTGGAATGCTGGTTGACTTTTCATCATTTTTTAGAAGATACAGTTAATGGACAGAATTTTATTAACATAAATACATCCAGATATTTGCTCACTGTGGCAGGAGACCCTCTGGACATTAAACATGACAAGTTACTATAGGTCTTTTAGGATATCAGGAAATTCTTCAGCTTACACAAGTTGCAGCTTTCAGTCTTACAGACTCAAGGTGTAGAATTTAGTCCAACAAACAAATGTTTCTTTTCTTTCTTTCTTTTTTTATTGCGAAAATACTGTACAGAGGGGTTACAATTACATGGGCAAGGTAATGAGTACATTTCTTATCAATCATTGTTGCCTCCTCCTTTGTTTCCCCTTCCCATCCCTTCCCATCTAACCCCCCTTCTCATCCCCCCCATCCCCCTGCCTGCCACCAAAGTGGAAAGTTTGTTTTTTGACACAACGGTCTTGTACATCTCATTGTTGAAATGGGTCCACCTGTATCCCTATTTAAACAATTTTTTTCCCTTCCCCTCCACAAATTATACCAACATCAAATACAGTGAAAACAGGGGTTATACTGGGGGTAGGGAGGGACATACAAAGCAACAAAGAACTCATAAATATGTTAGCAACAATATGAAGAAAGAAAAACCATTTGAGTCCTTATCTTGGGGTCCATTTTGTCTAACATCAACCTATCTGACCATTTCTGCTTGTCTCAGACATATACTAGTTATTGCAAATAAGGGAAACCGTGGGACCTATGTTTCTTTGGGCCTGGCTTACTTCATTTAATATAATTTTTTCCAAGCCTTTCCATTTCCTAACAAATGGGGCAATGTCATTCTTTCTGATGGAGGCATAGCCTTCAGTAGATGAATGGATCAAGAAAATGTGGTATATATACACACCAAACTTTTCTTAAACACATACTTCCTTAAAGTAATTCCCTTTCCTGGCCTTGAATTCCAACAGTCAATGCATGAAAAACCAGTGGTTTCCTAACACTTCTTGCCATCTGTTTCCTCATCTCTCAAATAGGTATTGTTAAAAGGATTGAACATTACAATGTATAAAAAGTACCTCACGGGGCTGGGAAGATGGCTCAGTGGTAGAGCACTTGCCTTGCATGCCTGAGGGCCTGAGTTCGATTCCTCAGCACCACATAAGCAAAAAGAAAAAAGCCAGAAGTGGTGCTGTGGCTCAAGTGGTAGAGCTTTGAGCCGAGGGACAGCGCCCAGGCCCAGAGTTCAGGCCCTATGACCAGAGCCCCCCTCCCCCCCCAAAAAAAGTACCTCAGCAAATATAAAGGCTTATAGAATGGCAGACTTTAATTACCATGATATGAATAGGACAAACGCAGGTTCAAAAATTAGAGGAAAGTCTTGCTTACTATGAGGAAGTACTTGTTCTCCCAATGCTTTCGTATTCCTTATGCTTTTCTTTAGCTATTCCTACAACACAAGCAATGCCTGAATGTAAACGCTGGGAGAAACTGCAGAATTCACGGTGCATTTGTAAAATGCCCTATGAATGTGGGTAAGTTCTGTCTTTGCTCACCTTTCTGTTTTATTTACATCTATCTATCTATCTATCTATCTATCTATCTATCTATCTATCTATCTATCTATCTATCTATCTATATTACCCCAAACAAATGGGATAATGGGATGACTTCTGACATATTTTGATGTCTCCTGACTTAGAGGTGTAGCTTATCACCCTCGGGTTAAGAGTCTTTGCATCCTAATCTGGTCCATGGCAGTCTGTTACAGGTCATCAGGCTGAAGTCTATGGTATTCAGCAGTATTCTAATCTGGCTAGGGAGAAGGATGAAGGGACTACTTGAGGGCTGCTTGTTCTATATATATAGAAAGTAGAACAAAATGACAAAACTGTCAGTGGAGGATTTAGAGCTTGAGAGGATTAGGCTGAAATTCCCTTGGGACATCAGCTCTTAAAGCAATGCTGATAGAGCAAACAGCAACTACTTTTCTGATTCTTAAAGTGTCTCCTGTTATTTTTTTTTTTTTACTGTAAAAATACATGCAACTTGAAACCATCCTTAGAGGAGGGTATCTAAAGCAGCTAGTGGATGCTTGTGTATAGTAAGAGAATATGATGGTATGTAATGATTTCTGGTATGTGGAAGAATGTAAGTAAATGGTGCAAATGGAAATGGAGTCAGCCAAGGTGAGTTCTGACTTGACTATTGTTTTCTATTAGCCACTGTTTATTTGAATCCATTTCTTCCTTTGTCTAGCTTCTCCCACACATTTCATTTGTCTGCAGTCTGTCATTTGTAGACATCGTATGAGTTTTCCTATCATATTGACATAGTATTATAAGCACTCTACCTTTTCAATTGTTCTGAATAGTTTTGTTTAAAAAGTTTAAATAAAGAGTAAAATATGTATACAAAATAAAAAAATTGCTTTGTTGATGCAAGTAACTCCAAATCAATGTAGCTGAATAAATTTAACTCTTGGCCAGAGGAAAATATTAGACCTAAATATAATTTGAGAATGTAAAGTCTTTTTGACCCTGCTGGTAAGCAAAGAAAATAAAATATTTTGCTAAGTTTTCATTTTCCTATCAATCAATCCACATTTAGAAGTGTGATCGCTTTTTATTAAAGTGACATTTCTAAATAGCCACAAGTTACCATTTTAGTACTAATGCTTACAAGTAGCATTATTCTACAGAAATATTCTTGTAGTACTTTGAAAACACAGATGCTTTTAAAAAGAGCATTGAAAAGTACATTTTCATCTTCATTTGACTATTCATGGTCATTAATTAGTGGACAATGCTATATTACAGGTATGAACGTTCAAGGCGGCTAGGCTAGGAAGAGCTAATTTTTTTCCTGTGGCCAAATGGTTTCATTTGATCTGAGTGTTTGATCTTTGCTGATTTTCTGTTTCCAATGTTGTCAATCCATCAGCAGTTGCTAGCAGACCTCACCTTCTCCTCTAATTTACTGTATCTGATCTGTCCTAGATAAAAACAAATCAGCAGTGGGTATCTATGCTCATAGAAACTGAGGACATAGAGGAAAAGGTACTCACTGGAGATCTGAAGTGTTGGCCCCTAGGAACAAAAGAGGCTTGAGTTGATATGGTGTCTTTGCTGTGGCTAATATAACATGTGGGGCAGTGAGCTCAAGGCCTTGCTTTTCACTTGTACCCCTCAACTTTTAAGAACAGATTTCTTGTAAATCTGTAATTGAAAATGCTTTTCAGATCTTCCCTGGATGTATGTGCTAGAGATGAGAGAAGCAAAAGGACACTGCGTCTGACAGTATGCAAGCTGCACGTTCTCCACTGTCAGGGTAGAAATTACACTCTTACTGGTAAGGACAGCTGTGCTCCGTCAGCCCCAACTGAGAAAGCTTGTGGTGCCTGTCCACTGTGGGGACAATGTGATGGTAAGGAACACTTCGCATTTATAATCGTAAGAATGTGAAAATGACGGCATTGAGGGTTGCTGTTGTTTTATTTGGTACCAGTACTGGGGCTTGAGTTCTCTTTTGGCTTTTTCACTCAAGGCTAGTGCTCTGCCAATTGAGCCACAGGTCCTCTCCTAGCTTTTTGCTGGCTAATTGGAGATAAGAGTCTGACAGACTTCTCCCTAGGTTGGCTTCAAACCTCGATTCGCCTGCATGGCTAAGATTACATGTGTGAGCCACCAGCATCTGGCAGTAGATAATACTGAGGTTTTAAATTTTTCTTTTTTTTCTTTCTTTTTTTTTTTGGGTCCGGTCGTGGGGCTTGAACTCTGTGCCTGGGCGCTGTCCCTCAGCTCTTCAGCTCAAGGCTAGTGCTCTACCACTTGAGCCACAGCGCCACTTCCGGCTTTTTTCTTTTTGCTTATGTGGTGCTGAGGAATCGAACCCAGGGCCTCGAGCATGCAAGGCAAGTGCTCTACCACTGAGCCACCTTCCCAGCGCCTTAAATTTTTCTTTTTTTAAACTAACAAATGGTACAAGGGAGTTTTACTGTGATAATTCCATATGAACATTAAGGTTTGAAACAATGTAGTCTTGGGTTTAGCAGTCAATCAGAGCAGATACCCGGAGATGTCAAAGATTCAAGTCTGATTTGGCAGCAAATTGCCTTCCCAGTTCCTTTCCCTGGAGAGGGCTGCAAATCAGGCATCTAAAAGGTCATAATCCATTTCCTATATTCTAAATGTTCTTCTATTCCACCTTCGTGATTTTTACTGTCTTTGTAATATCACATTATGTATTCAGTTTTTACTCTTAAGTAACTGTAAAAATGGAAATGTTATGTCTCAAAAAGAAGTATAGTTTGCTATAAGTAATTGGTTAACTACAAAGATACCACAGTGGAATAACACAGATTCTAGCCAAATGCTACTTGAGAGTAAAGATGAGATCTGTCTGTTATAGGAAGTTTATCAAGTGTTAGAGAGGTGTTAAAAACACACTAGCCTCCATCTGACACTTCCTCGTAGAAGTCATCCTAAGGATGTGAAGAGAATAGAGAAAGGAGTTACTTTCTCAAATTGTGATTCACTATTTGCTCAGGCACTGACCTTGATCTTGATCTTGAATATCACAAAGGTTGTGAGGCACCTCCCCTGCCTTGAGCAACAAATACTATGAAAAGAGAAAGGCTGGGCTGTTAGAGACAGATCTCTGCCCTGGGTTTCTTTGTCTGTAAAATTGGGAGCCGACTGTGTGATCCCTGAGGTCTTTGCCAGCTCTGTGATCCCTTTCCTTTCTAGACTGATCTGCTGGCATCTTCTCTCTCAGTCCCTCAGCTCTGATGGTTGGCTGCGCAATGACTTGGGTAATTTTAGCCAGGTCTGGGGCAATGTCAGCTTGGTAGTTACCACCATCTGCTGGCTGACCTCTTGTTGGAGACACCTGGCTGCTATCTTTCTCCAGCCGTGCCCTTCTCCCGTCTTCCCTCCTAACTCATGTCTTCTATTTTTTAAAAATAGGATGTGTAGTCTTTATGTGCTATATTTTCTCTCACAGCAAGTCCCCCCTTCCCCTTGACTTTCTGCTCTTTGCTGAAGTCTAATTTGGTCTGGGGTAGGGTGGGGGTGGAGTGAGGGTAGAGATGAAGGATTGTACCTGATTCTGTCTCATGTGGATGGCAGTGTGTGTGAGGAGAGAGATAGACAGTCCTTGGTTTGGACAGAACTGCCTCATGTAGCGCCAACCAGTAGGAACCCAGGCACCTGACTTCAGAACCCATTTATCCCAAGTGGAGCAAAATGGTTCAATTTCCTGGTACTACTGCTCTTCCACAGGGATGGTTTGCTGCATTGTTTGAGGCGGAGGCTCTCTAATCACTACCATTTCTTTGGAGATAATGTGTTTTCACTTTCCTACCTCCGTTATGGGAGGTGTCATTAAACCACTCTTGCTTATTTTCCCAGCCCAGAGAAGCAAGTGTGTCTGCCGAGAAGCCTCGGATTGCCAGGAAGAAGGGTTTAGCATCTGTGTAGAGGTGAATGGCAAGGAGCAGACCATGTCTGAGTGTGAGGCGGGTAGCCTGCAATGCCGAGGGCAGAGCATCTCCATCACCAGCATAAAGCCCTGTGCTGCAGACACCCCGTAGTCTCGTTAGCAGGTGGCTGGGGCTGAGTTAAAACAGCTGAACAACCGGCACCTACAATACCTTTCCAGCACGAAGCACATTCTGTTTCTCTAGTGTATACTTCATGCTTCCACTCTCCTCCACCTGCAGAAATAAACCCTTTGTTCTCTCAAACCTGAGTCCAGACTCTCCTTGTTTCTTTCATTAAAAATAACAGAAGGAAGATTTACGAACCATTGCACAAGCTAGCTGTGTGTTCTTGGAAAAATTCTCTGGTGTTGACTTTTTTTTTTGTCTGTAAAATGAGAGGGTCAGATTAGAGACATTTACATGCTCCATGCTTCCAGATGATTCTATTAAGTCTGATTGACCCAACTCGTGGGCCAGAACGCGCTCTACACATTGATTAGGAAAACAGAAAGAACACAATTTCCTGATTAAAGAGGTTGGCTTCCCTCAATGAAGCTAAACACAAAAAGGAGCTTGGATGAAAAGAAGCAGATACAATCATTTCCATCTGGTGTTGTAATGTCATGTTTCACCCCATTGAGTCAACCAGTCACATGGGGGACCCCAGATCCTTGTCAGGAGATTGAACCACTTAAAGGTCAGCACAGAATTCATCATTCTGCGGTCACAGGATTCCTTCTGCATCTTGAGAACAAATATGATTCATTCTTCTGGGGGCTTGTCTTTTGTATTTGTCAAATACAAGGTCTACAATCATCTCCATTTTTGAAAGAAGTATCAGCTTATTACCCAGCTATTGAGTGATGCATATTTGAGAACAATCTTTCCTAATGTGGATATACTCCCAGGTTTCCCCACCCCCACCCCCCAGAGGTATATAATTTAAAGCAGGGCCTTCTATTTATTCTTTATTCATCTTTCTACAAAATAAAAAGTCAGCTGTGGGAGGGAAAATGAGTGGGCTTAAGTGGAGTTTAAAATATACTTTATATACAAATACTACTTCACATTTTTTCCTGAGTCTGATAAATGAATTTCAAGCAAACTTTAGTGAAGATAAGAATAAGACGACTCATTGAAGATACTGTTCTTTAGACTTTTGGATCTCTTTTAGTATTTGATTTCTAGAAAATATTTTCATGAGGAATGGTTAATGTGTTTTTGCCAGAAATTTTATGTTGGATCCAGATTTTAGATTTTTATCCCAAGATGTCTTTTGAAGGATGATACAGACTAAATATGTGGAAGATGAAGGAAGCTGGTCTCAATTTATTGAAACAACATTCATATAAGTCAATTTTATCACTAGAGGTTATTATGGTAGTGATTTCTATCCTTTGCAGGATAAATTTGAAAGAATCAGGCCTAGATGAAGTCTCTGAGACAAAGGTTGAACAGGAATTCACTTGTGAGGAGCAATTTCAGCATCTTTCCAGTTTTTTCTCCTTAGACTGGTACAGTATTAGATTGCAACCAATCAGGTTCCACCTCTTTTATTTTCTAACTTGTAAAACTTGACATAATACGATGTTATCATGTGCTGTCAGAGCCTGTGATCTGAAATGAAGAATATATGAGTTTGCCAGGCACTAGATTCACACCTGTAATCTTAGCTCTCAGGAGGCTGAGATCTGAGGATTGTAGTTTAAAGCCAGCCCTGACAG